GAGGATTGTGTGGATTTAACTGAGCGTGGGCTGGGGACAGGACCTCCCGATTTGCAGTTCTGCCTCCTCATCATATTAGCTGTGAAATCCTAAAGGAGTTTCCTAACCTCCCTGGACCTCAGCTTCCTTCTACAAGACAAGAACAATAGTGCATACCTCGTAGGAAGTTTGCTGTGAAAAGGAAAAGAAATGATACACGTAAAGAACATAGCCCAGTTATCTGGAGGACAGTAAGCCTTCAATACAAGTCACCTGTAATTCGTTACTATTTTGAGACTGCGTTTGTTCTCCAGGGAAATGAGGCCTTCCTCCCTCTGAAGCCTTGGTCTAGCTGAGGGACAAGCAGAACAAAGCAAGCCCAGGGCTCGGCGTGGGGAGGCAGACAGTCTGGGTCAGAGAAGGCCCGAGTTTGACAGCCTGGACCATAATTAGTATGATTTATTAGCATAGGGAGTTGGGAAAGTTTTTTGCCTGGGGCGGCACTGGAGAGAGCAGGCGAGTGGACTGGGTAGCACGGGACATCATCAATTGTGGCTTTGTCACCAAAAGGAAGGACTTTATGGGCAAGGGGAGCCTGAAATGAAAAATTGCTTCCAGGTTTCCTCCCAGAGATGGTTGAGCTCCATCCAACAGCCCTTCTTGGCATTCCTTCCAAGCCTGTGGAATGATTTAGACCATGAGATGGTGGAATGGGAGGGAAGTCCAGAGTAGTTTAAGGAACTGGATGGAGAAGAGACTAGAAGGGCAGGTGGGGATCAGCATAGAGCTACAGCCTGGGGCATGTGGGGTTGGGAAGGCACAGGGAGCACCACGCCCCAGAGTGGTCCTTAAGCCCCAGTTGCCCAGAAGGCTCAGGCGTGTGGAGGGTGGGCTGCTTGTGGTGAGTGCTGAGGTCTCTCTCTGGAGCTGCTCCCAGGATAGGATCATGAAAACGGGCCCACCTGACACTCTTCAGTGATTTTGTTGATTTGTCTGGTTTTGATTTAGAAATTCTTAGACTCTTGCATGAGCTTTTGGACTTCTATACCCAGCACATGAATCTTGCTGAGAAAAGCCCACGTAGCACCCAAATGCCTTGTCCCCGATCTTCTGGATGTTAATACCCGAAAGGCTTTGCACCTTTTCAGATAAAATTCTTTCTTTAAATAAAATTTCCCAAGGTATAGCAACAGCTGACACATTTTTCGAGCACCTAGGATGCAGCAGTTAGCATGCTGTCCTCTGTGCTCATGTGAACCCTCCCCCCCCCACATGCCACCAAGTCCTCTGAGGAAGTGGCAGGACCGGAAGTAGGTCATGTAAGTGTTCTCCAGCTCCTGCTGCTGGAACTTAGTGCCTTTGAGGTGCAAGAGCTTTGCTTGACGGCGGGGATGGAGAGCAGGAGCTAGAGCCCGGCCTCCTGAACCATCACCCAGGGCCCTGAGGGACCTCTCAGGAACCCCTGGAATGGCCCTAATCTAGAAAGTTCTGCTACAAAGTGGAAACCAGAATCCAAAGCAGAGGGGCACCGCATGTCGGCGTGGTCACCTCAGCAAACAGGGGAAGGATGAGTGGGTGTGTGGAGGTTCACGGCGGAGAGCCAGAAACGAGGTGTGAGGTCAGGGTACCCCATGACTTGTCAGAACTTCAGTGGAGAAATCATCTTTAAAAAGTATCATACGCTTGTCAAGGTCAGACAGCCGGCCCTGCACACTTCGATCAACTTTTCCAGTATCGCTAGTTCTTTATTTTGAGAGAGCGGAAGGGAAGGCCTGAGGGAGTTAATGAAATTCTAGAGTATTTTGCAATCTGTGACAGTCCACTCCAGGGTCTTGCAGGGAGGCTAGGCAGAAAGCCTGCTTCAAAGAGCAGGTCTGATCCTTTGTGGTTAGCGCGTGGCAGGCCCGGAATCGGCTGCTGTCTGCTAAAGCCATTGAAAAAGGTTGTGAAGACAGCTGGTTTTCCGGACTAAGCTGATTATTCCTCCCTGCCCTCCTGTAGACATTGTTCTTCTAGTGGACACATCATTCCTTTCTCCCTTTCTTTTCCCTTTGGTCTCGAAGTACCTAAGCTGTCACATCCTGAATTGGAAAGGATGAGACAGGGCCCTTTGCTGCTTTGGTTCAATAGGAAAAATGACGATGGGAGAGAGACCCAGCTGTTTTTCCACTAGCGGGGGGGAGTTGTGAGGTGTTCCTGGCAATGGTGGGCACCTACCGAGTGCCTGGCACGTCATGAAACACTTCATCTGTGGCACAGCAGGCCTCCCAGCCCTAGGTGTCTGATGTTTTTCCAGTTGGGAAAGTATATCTCCAAGTCATTAGGAAAAACCTGCCAAGGTCATGGCGTCAGTGGTTTGTGGCAGTGTCGGCCTGGGGAGCCTGGACGTGGACAGGAAGCTGCCACGGGGACAACTGTGAATTCAAGGTGGGATCTCCTGTGGGGCTGGGGGATGTCTCACTGGCCACAGATCACGGAGAGTTTGCAGAGGAGTGTACAGAGGCGAGTCTGCTGTCCCCTGCTGCCTCCCTCTCAGAGAGGACTCGGACGAAGGGGTCACCTCTCTCGGAAGGAAAGCACAGAGGCCAGACCAGATATTCTTCCCATGGGGCGTGTTGGCTCTGAGGACAGCCACGGCCTACAGGGCCCACCCAGTGTCCAGGCAGCTCTCAACTATCCTGTCACATCCAACTTCTCTCCACCTTTAGGAGGTCAGAGACAGTCAGCTCCTTCAGGAATCCAGAGAGCTAGGTGGCCAGTCAAAAGCCAGGTTCCTCCCTCAGGGAGGGTGACTCCTGTGGGATATTCATGCCTTGATGAGACTTTGTCTTCTTTCAATGGGTGGTGGGAGAAGAGGGCTACAGCTGTGATGCAGGAATCAGAGAAGCTTCTGGAAGGGGTCTTAGCAATGACCAAGTTCAACTTCTCATTAGACTGTTGGAAATGCAGAGGCCTCAGACAGGAGAAGGCTGTGTCTTTATGTCTGAGACTGTCAGGTATCAGCCCCATTGGCAAGCCTACTGGTGATCACTTCTGTTAACCCTTCGTTTTTGTTGTTGTTGTTTTTTACTGTGGTAAAATAGATCTAGAACGTACCATTTTAACTCTTTTTTAAGTGTAGAGTTTGGTGGCATTAAGTCAATTCACAAGATTGTGCCAACCATCACCTCTCCGTCTCCGTGAACTTTTCATCTTCCCAAACTGAAATGAGTCCTTCATTTTTAAACCCCCGTGTGTGCTTGTCCTGCACCTGACTGTGGCCCAAACACCTCCCACATATTAACAAACACCCTGGTAACAATTCTATGAGGTAGGCGTTCTTGCTATCTCCTTTCACAGATGAGAAAACGAAGGCATGAGAAGCTGCGGTGCTACAGTTAACAAATCTCAAAGCCAGACTTTGCCTTTAGGCTGCCCAGCTCTGAAGTCTGAGCTCTGGATGACTATAGGAACTGCTCCAAGGTCTGGAACTCCTCCCTGGGGCAGGCAGGCCATCCCCTCCTGCCACCTCTCCAGCTGGCAGAATGGGCAGGAAGAGAGGGCTCCCGGGATGGCAAGTCCCTGCTATGCGTGTGGACAGAAGGACCTTCTCCCTGGATCCTGCCATCATGGGATGCAGGGGAGACAATGGGGACACAAAAGCTTTCATTTTCCTCCTTCAAACTTAGCCTCAGCCCAATATTGAGGGTCAGAAATAGAAGACATTCTTCATTATCTTTCTGGGGATCAAAGTGTTTCTTAGGCCTAAAGGAGATTTGGACTGTGTATCTGGCTGAGTCAGAACCCTTCAGATAGGGTGAGAGACACGCTGTGCGTGACGTGCCCCTGCGTTGGTGGTGTGAGCAGGTGTGGGGCTGGATTATGGAAGGAAGCACCCCAAGTGTGTCTGTGATGCCCTGGCCTCTGGTCGGAGGCAGGGGCTTCCTTCTGATGGGGGCCTTTTCATAGCATCCTCAGAGGCTTGGTCTCTCCTGGACCCAACTGCCTCCTGCCCCCGAGTGTGGGCCATGCCGAGCCAGAATGCCCAGGGTTAAGGCCTGGGAGGACTGACAGCCTGGTGAGGACTTACCTCACAAGCCTCGGGGCATGCACCTGCCAGGCTTGCTGGGTTGTGCAGTCACCTGAGCACCTAGGGACAGAGGCCCTCAGAGAGATGCTGGGGCCAAGTCAGCAGGCCCTCCTCTGGCATGGGATCTGCACAAGGCCCCATGCTTCCTTTGTAGGTGGAGAAGACCCGCTGAGAGAGGAGGAAGGGTGGGAAGGCAGGCCTGGTGGACGGCATGGGGATTCATGTCTACCGAGCGCATGCTTTGGGCCGAGCCATATATTTTACGCAGTTAGGCTCCCTTAATTCTCACAGTCGTTCTCGTCATCCCTGCTTGAGGGATAAGGAAACAGAAGCTCCGAGAAAAACAGTCATATTCATACCAATAGCTGCAGGGCAACGTGGTTAGAAGATGATTTAGAAGATGACTGTGTAGATAGTTAAGAGGACAGGTGCTCAAGTCAACTTGCATGAAACCTAAAGAGCCATAACACCTTGGATAAGTCATTGACCTCTCTGTGCCTCAGTTTCTTCATTCATAAAATGGAAATAATAACCATTCATTTCTCATAGGGCTGCTGTAAGGATGAGATGGGTGCTTGGCACAGGGCCTGAACCACAGCTACTGTTCAGCAAATGTTAGCTAAATCCATGATATCAAGAAATCACAGCATACTGGGCTCTGGGCTAAGGTTTTCACTTAAATATAATAACTCCAAGAAATTGATTCAAAGGCGTTTGTAGAGTCCCCCAAGGCCACAGAGCTGGGAAGAGGTTGGGGTGAGGATGCCGGTGCTTTTCTCTCTGTAGAAGCTTCCCCTCCTGCTGCCCAGATCTCCTCCAGTCCTCTGCCCTGAACATCGGTAAGAACTGGCATGTTCCAGCCCCCAGCATGGCCTTGCCGCCTCCTAGAGGCCAGCGCCACCTCCCGCCCCAGCTCCTCCCAGCTCAGATGGGCTTCTCCGGGTTTACGCACCTGTCTGATGCTCAAAGGCAGGGTAGTACTCTTCATTGCTGAACAGATCAGTCCACGACATCAGAGGGTCGCAGAAGGACGTGTTGGGCAGGAAGGTACTGTGTGTCACCGAGTCCAACATCACCCTACAAAGGCAGGAGAGGGCTGAGAGGAGGCAGATGAGGGCCGCACAGGAGYCCCCAGCGGGGCACACTTGGTTTTTAATAACAAACACGCAGCCATCTAGGAACCGGGCAGCCCTCGAAGTGCTTGCCACAACGACGTTACTCAATCCTTGCCCCATCCTGTGAGGTTTGTACATCTGCCCCCATCTTATATACAAGAAAATCTAGATAGTGGGGTTGCAACAGGTGCCCACGTAACATGGCCCGTAAGTGGCTAAGTTCAGGGTTTGACATGGAGATTCTTAGGACGCAATGCTGCCTCTTTCTTTACTTTTCCTATTGGCTCACATGTGACCCCTGAACTCCGGGTTATAAGGTCAGCCATATGCTTCTGAAGGCTGGGCAAGTGTGGCTATATGTTAATACACCCCAAAACCCTTACCCCCAATTCTGAAATCCACAAGCTCTGAAAAGGAAAGTATGTGTGTGTGTGTGTGTTTACAGACTCATTTCCCACAAAACACAAAACAAAACGAAAACCAGTCCTAAATTAGTTATATAGTTTTATATACTGTTACATATATATTACATCCATAAATCTATATTCAGGCATATAAACCATGTACTAAACATAGATGCACACACACACACACGTATATGTATATAAGCAACATGTTGTAATTGTGTACATTATACATATGCTATATAGTTTTGTAATTATAGTTATAATTTTGTTTATTCTACTAGATGAATATTCATAAGATATGTAAAATACATAGGCTTCCTAGGAGGAATACCCGGACAAGAGGATTCTGTATCCTGCAGCATATACATACTGTATAACCTCCCTAGTACCTGAGGAATCCTGAATTCTGCAGCACATCTAGTCCCAGGGTTTGGGTTCAGAGAGCGAGGACCTATGATAGTTGGAACATACACTTACTACGCTTCGGGCTCTGTTCTGAGCACTTTACATCTGTGTATTGATGACTCATGGTCTCCTCGGAACACAATCTGAGACAGGTTCTTTCTCAGTGATGAGGATGGATGCGCTAAGATTTTAGGTCATATACTGCAAACCACCCAGCGGGCAGATGGTAGAATTGGTGACAACTCAGGTTTATCCACTTAAGAAGTCCCTCTTTTTTTTTTTTTTTTTAAAGATTTTATTTATTTCTTTGACAGAGATCACAAGTAGGTAGAGAGGCAGGCAGAGTTAGGGAAACAGATTCCCTGCTGAGCAGAGAGCCCCTTGCGGGGCTCAATCCCAGGACCCCCAGATCATGACCTGAGCCGGAGGCAGAGGCTTAACCCACTGAGTCCCCCAGACGCCCCAAGAAGTCACTCTCTTTATCGTAGGGCTCTCCCCCCTGCATACACTGGCGAGGAGGAAGATTTGGGAGAAGGTGTCTGGTTGAGGCTGAAAAGATGGCAGAACGGGATGGCTGAGGCTGCTGTAAGCTTTCAAGTTTGCTTTTCCCCATATTCTCACAATTAAGGGGAGAAAATGAATTCACATTTGGTAGATTAGAAAAATTGGTCTGCCCAAATTCTCTCTTCTGATTATCACAATCATGTTGATGAGATAGGGTGTTTCTACCCCCATTTTGCGAAGGGGAGCCCACAGCTCAAGGTCACGCAGCTGGTAGGTTAAATGACAAAGATTAAATGAACAAAGATTGGATTCTGGATCTTGAGATATTAAGCATATAGAATTTTCAGATGGCCGGGGTCTTAGTAATCACCTAGTTCAGTGATTTGCAAACTTGATAATCATTTGCCTACCATCCCGATAATTTACTTAATATGCTAAAAAAAATCCACTTTTTTTTTAAACACAACTACATTTATTTAAAAGGAAGACTTTTTATCACCACTATAGATGAGAGTCTGTCTCCTTTCAACATGCAGAAAAATAAAGACAGGATTTAAATAAAAACTGTTGGTCCATGCATCACCTAAATCAGAGGTTAGCAGACTACAACTTACAGGCCCAATCCAGCCCACCATCTATGTTTGAAATGGGCCCCAACTGAAAATGATTTTACATTTGTAAATAGTTACATAGGAAATGGTTATATATGTACCCACTTACTATAATCAGTTTTGCCCTTTGGTCTGTATATCCTAAAATACTAACTACCTGGCCCTTGAAATAAAAGTTTGCCTACCCCTGACCTGATCTATTTCCTGTATCACACGAGTGGTGTGAGTGCCACATGTTGGAAAGTCCAGAGTTAGTCCAATCTTTCCCTTCACTCCATTGTTGTATAGCTGAGACAAGTAAGGCCCAGAGAATTTGTGTAACTCACTCAAGGTCACACAGCCAATGGATGTCAACATTATGTTGTAGCAAGTTCTTAAGGTTTCTGAATTTTGGATCATCTGCTTCCTTTTCTAGAAACACTCACAGTCACATCTGCCTACAGACATATCCCTAACACACTTACATATCAAATGGAACCCCAGTACTGAGAAAGGCAGGGGTTGTGTGATTCTAGAATCAAAGGGCAATTCTTTGAGGGTGCTTGCAAATCTACCATCGTTAGCTTCATCAACTGCATGAGAACTGCTCTCCTGTGATAGAGAAATAACCAAGTTCAAATTCTCACCCTCTGGCACCCTTTCTGGACCGTCATTGGAGAGTCACCAGACCCTACTGGGAAGCCTCCTTGCTGGTGCCCAGAGAGGGTTAACCAGCTCAGTGGGTTATCATGTTCATGGATCTCCCCCTGGGAGCCGTAGCAAACAGAGGTCAAGGCTGCCTGAGTTTAGACTCTGATTTTCCCACGGATTGGCTGGTTTTATATCCTGAGCGGGAGGTAGGACGAAGAGGAATGGGGGTGGGAGGTTTTGAGGGAGGGAAGGGCCCCTGGAGCTCAAAACCCCTCTTCTGCATTTTGGACTTGACCTCAGAAAAGCTCCCGTAAGTGAGGGCTAAAGGTAAAATCTCAGAAAACTGAGGGAGAAGATGGCTGAACTCTGACATGACCTTCCTGGGGGTGTTTGGAGAAAGGAGGGGTGTAGTCCACATGGAAGGAAACAGAATTGTTTCCAGGTCTTCCCTTTCATTTAGAAACCCTCCAGGTAAAAAATCACTGTAGCAGGAGTGGGCACTTTCTTGCTTAACACCTGACATGAATAGTTCTTAAAAGTCATTCGGTAACTTGAATTTGATCACCAAACATTAGGAGTATTTCTGAGCAACAGGATATTTACCTCTTTTAAGGATTTCTCTTCTTCTTTACACCAACCTGCTCGCTTGACCTGCAATCTCCCTACTGCTGTACACAGCGTCTGATCTGATTCCCCTTGGTAATCTCTTCTATGAGGAATTATATCCATTGAGTTTTCTTAAAGGACTCTCTCAGGTGTACCAAGGGCTATTTTTTTTCCCCTGTAATTATTTCTTGCTTCTTGGAAAAAAATTTTCTTTTATAAAAGCAGCATATTTCTTTTTTATTTTATGCTATTACAGTCGGAGAGCATATTATTAACTCTGGGTTTTCCACAAAAGCCCTTGGCCACTTAGCCAGCATGCGCTAGGTGTGAGTTCAGGAATAATGGCTGCTTTGTCTTCAGTCGCTTAGCTTCCTAGGCCCTTGAAAGTCCTTGCAATAACTGAACATTTTAGCTCTTAAGAGTTCCTTAATGTAGGTGGAACAGTGTGAGGGTGGGGGGGGGAGAACCCCCAAACCAGCTGTTTGGGGCCCATTTCTCAGCTAGTACACTGAGATCCAGGAATATGTAGGCCCAGGCTCACAGTTTGACTGGCGTTCCCAGGTGGGTGACGTGGACCTTAGAGGGGAAAAATTGGTTCTTGGGGATCAAAAAAAATAGTAGCCATTATTATGTCTCAAGACCCTCTAAAGGGCCACCGTGCATAAATGATAGGGGGTAGTGACTATGACAAAATTATTTAAAAAACCTCCCCAGTTGGGAACGACAATGAAAAAAATGGTTGAGAAGCACTGGATTAGACCTAGAGTCAGCAGCAGGACAAGAAGGGACATTCAGGGAGGGTCCCAGCCTGCTATCCTAGGCCTATGTTTTTGGGTTTTGAGGGGCACCTGGTTTGTCATCCTGTAAAGAGCACTGGCTGAGAGTCATGATTCTGCCTCTTGTGCCTCTGCTCTTCCTTTGACCACACTGGTGAGGGGGACTCTGAGACATGCCCTGGCTCCATGATTTTCTTCAGACCGTCCACCTGAATGGCCCAGCACATCCAAACACAGGCACGCACACATATGCACATATGTCGGTTATACTGGATATTGTGGTCGAGCAAGCTATCTAAATTGGAGTCAAATCCAGCCACTAAAATGGAGATTTAACTTTAGTTCTCCAAAGTCCCCCTGATTTCCTCTTCCCCCTTCCCTCCCATGCCCACTACTTTCAGCAGTGGGCCCCGGGCATTCTTTGCCTGGACTAGCCCGGTCCCTTAAGCGCTTCAAACCCTCACTCACCTCTTGCCCATCCACACACCCACCGCTGTTAGAATCAGTTTCCCCCAAATACCACCATAGCTGCTTAGTGAGCAGGGAAGTTTCAAGCACAATCCACACCAGGGAAAGGAAGCCGGTGGGTTCCCTTCCACGTGCAAGAAAGCCTGACTGCAGGGACCTGTTGGAATGAGACAGTGATAGTGGAGAAGCTTGGGTCCCTGATGGCTCCACTGGCTTCCTAACCCCTCTGGGAGCCGGCTCACTCACCAGGTGTGCACAGGGAATGGTCCGCACAGTCAGAGGGACAGGCCTGTGGGCTTCTTGCCCCCACACGAGTCAGAGGCAGCAATCACAGGTGTGGTGCCCATGACCTGATTAACCAGGCACCTCTGCTCAACCTTCCAGAGAGAGGGGAAGGAGCAAACCACCCAGGCTTGGCCAGTTTGCCAGAGAAGGAAAATTCCTTCCTGACCCTGGCAGAGATCATCAGCTTCACTCTGGGCATGTGACCAAAAATCCACCCAATTAAGCATCTACACATTGGCTGTTTATGCACTAATATATCACCAGACAGAACAAGGCCATGAGGGTGGAAACCATGGAACGGGGGGCTAAGAAGGGCCTTTCCTGATCCCGCCATCTGGGCAGTCCCATGGGGAAGAAGTTTTTCCTCCTCCAAAGCCTCAGCGAAACCTGAGTGTCCACAGGGTCCCGATTCCTGGGGGCAAAGCAGGGTCAATTGCCCGTACTTTGGACCTCCCAAAGGAGGCACACATGGGGGGAAGTCTCGGTGGGTTATTTTGACACCTGTAGTTAAAGAATTGGGGTGCTTGAATATTTGCTCTTCTGAGAGAAAGCAGAACAGCTGTGAGAATGGACTTGCTCTTGTCTTACCGAGGGACTCCTCATCTTCCTTTAGCTTGTATAGGGAGCTTGCTAGTTTGTCCCTAGTTGTTTCTCCAAAGGTGTGGCAAAGACCCACAGAAGGTAAGCCACACAGTTTACTGGGGGTTCCGATGCAGAGCTCATCAGCTTTGGATGAAATCCTTGAGGGGTTAAATCTTACCTCTGCCACCCACAAGGGCAAGGGACATGGGACATCTAGGTGTTTTACTAGTCAGCCTTTCAGAATTCTTTATTTTTGTTTCGCACAAGGGGAGGTCTATAAAAACCCATGCTCTTCTCTGAGCTCATCTTTAAAATGGGATTTTAACATGCCATTCTCAGGATGTCCTGCAGATTTATTAAAATCAGATCATATATGCAAGAGTCTGGGCGTAATATCTTGATGCCTGAGCCAAGGCAGGGGAGAATCAACTGTCATCAATATATCAAAAAGGTTCTTATTCTGGTGACTTCTGAGAAAGAAAGACAACCAAACTCTGAAAGTGCCTGCCTAGAACACCTTGAGTCACGAAAACCATTCTCAGCGACAACATGAGGACAAAGAATTACGTCTTCACTCAGAGGAACAAACGATCCCTCTCCCAGGATCTTTAAACTAGACTAAAGCACAAAGCTGTCTCCCTAAATCACTTGACCTTAATGACCTCTGACATCCTTTCCTGCTTGTAAAAGTTTTAGTCCATCCATGGGTCCCCTTCTTCAGGTGGAGAAGGGGGCATGTGCTACCAGTGGCGGCCAGAAGGGGGCAGATGCCCACAAACCCCACGTCCTGCAGAGTCTTTGAGAAGGTCTGAGAATACAGTGGAAAAACTCTAACCATTGCTTTTCTGGAAGCCGTCTACACTGAGGTGGTGTAGGAGGGCAAAAAAAAAAAAAAGGGGGGTTTCTTTTAAGCTATTATGTACGGACAAATTCCTGAAAAAGGCCCCAAACCGTAACAAGGCAGCTCTCTTCTCTGTATCAAGGGGGAAGCCGTGAGCAGGGCCAACGGCAGAAGGGGGAGTTTTAGCCAGGGGGCTGGTGGGCTTTCCTTGAAGCTGACTATTTTGGGTGCAAAATCTAGCTCCCCTTCCTACAGACAGGTTTAGGAACAGGTAGAAAATTGAGTACCTGTACATATTCTCTGCGAGTCGCCCTTGGTTTAGCGCAAGGGGGTTCCGGGCAGGGGGTGGCTAGGCAGCCTGAGGAGGAAAAATGAGTGTCCCAGGCAAGCACTTAAATCCCCGTCAAAGAGCTCCCAGGAGGCATTGTGACTGATGGAACTGGCATTTGGTGGGGGGGGGTGATCCAGAGGTGCAGACCAGATGAAAAGACCCAGGCCCCAGCCCGGGACTCTAAGCCCTGATGCCCCTTACAATTCATCGAAAAGAGCAAAGAAAAGGTGCTTACGTGAGGACCGCGGTGGGTGACTAGGTCCAAAGAGGAGGCTCTCAAGGCAAGAGAAGGCGGGTGCTCCCAGCACCAGCGTACGGTGGAAATAAAGGCACCTGTAGCTTTGTGATATAAGTAACACCTACAGACAGGTCCGTTTGGTTTTTCAGGTTTACGCACAGCCCCTTTGATGACGGTGACATACAGTGTGACACGGCTCCTTGGAGGGGGGGAATGGTTCTCACATGCAGAAGTTTACCTTTATCCTGTTTTTGTGCCCAGCTCACCCTCCCTGCCCCCCGCCCCCCCACCTCCGTCGGTCCCCGCCCGCCCTCCCCCCCTTTCCAGGGGACTCAGTAAACAAGATGAGAATTCTTGCCTCTGGGAGCTTTGCTGGAAATGCCCTGTGTTTGCTGGGAATTCTCGTTGGTGCAAGCTGGAGAGGAAAGTAATCCAGCCCTGGTGCCTGTCTCTGCCGCCTCCCTCCTGGGCCAGCGGAGTCCTGCGGTTGTGGAAATCATGTCATTCTCTCAGTTTCTCCTCTGTGAGGCAAAGAACAGGGCCAGGCTGGGGCAGGGGTTAAGCACACAGGCTCTGCTGCTAGGTGGTTTGGGATTCAAATTCTAGGTCTGTCATTTTCTAGCTTGTCACCTTGAATAACTTAACCAGCTAGCTAATAACTTAACTAGCTCTAATGCAAATAAGAGTGCCTACCCACTAGGCTGCTGGGGGTCACATAAGTTCATGCGAGGGCAGCCCCTTGTGAGCTGTTTTCCTCGAGGGACACATCAATGAGAAACCCCCTTCTCTACCACTCCTCCAGCCTGTGCCTTGCAACTTGATGAAGGTAACAGCCAGCTTGTAGGGACAATGTGGGGCCTTTCTTCTCCTTTGTCTCTCAAAGCCATCATTTACCTGTTTAACTTCTAACTTGTTTAACTTCTAGCATCTTCGGATGCAATGAGCCACGGGGAGGCTTTCTCCCTTCCCTTCCCTATGGATGGAGAGACAGAAAAGTTTAGTGGCCCAGGCAGGTGTCTGCAGCTACGAGGCTGGGGGCCTGACTTGCTATGAACTACCTGCTTTGTAGTATCCACGCCCCCCCCGCCTCCTGCCCCAGAGCAGAAACTCGACCTAATTTAGGCTGTGATATGCAGTGTCCCCGGTTGCCTGTGGTACAGCCGTTTATAGCGCTGTGCCTCTTTGCAATGTGCTTTCAGCTCTCTTGGGCAGCCAAGACACTGTGTCCAAACTGCAGACTCCAAGCTTTAAAGTGAGAGCAGGGACTTGTTTGTTGGGTTTTCTTGGGAACTCTGGGCACAGCTACAAACACACAAATACAAACCCACATGGTCTGCAGAAACAAAAGGCTGTTCATTGGAGGAATCAGGGTGTCATGGAAAAATTGCTGGAGGAAGATAAGGTCACCCTAACTTGCTGTGTAACCTCAAGCAAGTCCAGCAGCCTCTCTGGGCATATTTCCTCTCCGGGTGAAAGGCGGAGTTTGGATTAGAAGCGCGATCTTCAAATTCACAGGGACAAATCCTGGAAAACTCCAGAGGTTTCTGGGAGGCCTTAGGGGGGCTGCTGGGGATGGAAGGCCAGGAGCCCAGGCGGTCAAGCTCTAGACCTTTCCTCCCTCATTCAATAAGAGCACCTCAGCTTTTATATAAATCTCCAGGGTAGGATTTCCTTTGAACAAAAGAATCTGCGATGAAAGGGAGTTTGCAAAGAACTGGATTAGATGGTCTTTGCGATCCTTTAAGCTCTAAAATTCTGTGGTTTGCCTCTTGCTCCTTGGTGTCTAGGGAACCAAGACAGTTCTATACACCACATCCCCTGTGCTGGGCACTTCCCATCTTGTCACTGGTTTCTGAAACGATTCTTATGTTCGGATCTGCACACATATGTTCCTCTTGGTAGAGAGGTTTGCAAGGAAAGCATCGTATTCTGCTATTGTATTTGGAAAACAGTCTTTTGGAGAAATTACACCTTTTCCCCCTTATGCTGTCTCAGCTCAACTACTTCAGAGTGAAAACTTTTCTGGCAGTCAGTGCATGTGACAACAACCTCTGTTTGTCTCCTGGTCCTGAATGCATAATATGGCATCTCTGAGGGCCTATGTGGGAAATTACAGGCTTCTGGACCAGTGGATAAAAGGGGTGATTAAGATAAAACCAAAATAAAAGAGGAATTTGACTCTAATTAAGTCTAACTATCACATTGAACCTAAATTTGATTGGAGTGGAGATCTTCGACAACATCAAACACTTAGTTTATAATGACCACATTATGAATGTTGATAGAAGGCAAGAGATGGGGTGGGGGATGGGGGAGAGGAGGGCAGAAGAAGGTATGGAGCATTTTAGAATTTCCAGCCTGTCTTCCTGATGTCTCAACTGCACGGTAATAACAGGTAACCCTTAATTAGGCTCATCAGAGCAACGTAGTGACTAAGACTAGATTCTGGAAGGATCTGGTCTCCTGTTCGAATCCCTACTTGACCACCTGCCAGCGGGGTGAGCCTGGGAAGCTTATTGGACGTCCTTACCTCCTAGTTCCCTCATCTGTAAAATGGGGAAGAAGGGTACATCTCTTACAGGGTTGTTGGGGGAATTAAATGGAGTAAAACATGGAGGGAGAGGCGGGAGCGCTATGTAAGTGGTAAGTGTGAGCTCTGTTACCCACGCGCTGTTAGATTTGTCTAAGTAATTACACGAAGAGGCCACTAGACTTTGGTCGCTTTAATGTCTTGGGAGCCTGCACACACAAGCCAAAACCCAGGCCAGACTCAATCATGAATGCACTGATATTAAAAAAAATGAAATTTAAAAGCCACAATCACGAACTGCCAAGTAGCCTTCCCCAAATAAGGCAAGAGCCTAAGCTCTAGCCTATCAAATAATTCCCTTACTTTGCTGCCGCGCTTCCATTCTGTTCTGTAAAAGGCCTTCCCCTAGCTCTTGTCAGTGGAAGGCCACTAACCCCTTTCAGTTTGGCGACGCCCAGCTGGGGATGATGTTTGCTCAAATAAACACTTGAAAATCTTTACAAATACCTCAGGTTATCTTTTAATATATTCGTGCTATTAAATTCTCACAACTCTTTGATGAGGGAGTTACTTATTATCTCTGTTTTACAGATAAAGGAACTGAGG